GCCCTCCCTGCCTCTGCCTTCTGATTTCTGGGATTAAAGGCTGCATAACCAACCAAGCCTGGCAGAACTATTACTACTACTTTTCTTTCTCTTTCCCTTTTTCTTTTTTTTTTTTAAAGCTGCCATGTGGGTGCCGGGAACTGAACCTGGATCCCCTAGGAAGAAGATTCAGTGCTCTTAACAGCTGAGCCATCTCTCCGGCCCCTTTTTTTTTAAAAAAAAAGAGGGATCTTTCATGTAACCCTGGGTAGCTTGTAAGTTACTTTGTGGATCAAGCTGGCTTTGAAATTTCAGTGTTCCTCCTGCCTCTGTGTCTTTCTTACTGGGATGACAGCTTTGTGCCACTGTGCCTGATGCTTTTGGATTTTTGTTTGTTTTTCTTTTTTCTCTGTGGCTTTGGAGGCTGTCCTGAAACTAGCTCTTGTAGACCAGGCTGGTCTCGAGCTCACAGAGAGATCTGCCTGCCTCTGCCTCCGGAGTGCTGGAATGAAAGGCATGTGCCACTACCGCCTGGCTTGGATGTTTTTTTAAGATTTATTCATTTATTTGTTTATTTATTTATTTATTTATTATGTATATAGCATTCTGCTTCCATGTATATCTGCACACCAGAAGAGGGCACCAAATCTCATAACGGATGTTTGTGAGCCACCATGTGGTTGCTGGGAATTGAACTCAGGACCTCTGGAAGAGCAGTCAGTGCTCTTAACCGCTGAGCCATCTCTCCAGCCTCCTGGCTTGGATTTCTTATACTCTTGTGTTGTTGGTCTTTTTTTGGTTCTAACCCAAAAAGAGTTTTGGTGCAGATAGATGTCTAAATGGCCTAAGATGTCTTAACAACTAGAAAGGGAAGAAGAGAAGTTGGGCGGTACTGATAAGCCAGAACGAGGAAGGGCCAGAGTAGCCTTTTGTCCGCTTAGGTCTAGCTAAAGAAATAGAAGGTGGGTGGTGGTATGACCAGTTATAATAGCAACTAGCTTTCAACTCGTTTGTCACTTACCAAATCCTTTTCACATTATGTAAATCACAAAGATGAGTGCCAGAGCCAAGCAGGTCTGCTTCCTTTGGTTTCATACTGTCCTCTCTGCACAAGTGCTATATTTGCGGGATTCTGCTTCTCAGCAGGGAAATTGTTGGATGAGCTCCTCTCCAGGGACTTGCTTGCTTCTGGGGCTAAGGTTAAGCCTCAAACATTGATAATGATCTAATGGGCCATGGTTAGGACTGGGGCTTGGAGGGAGAGAGCCTTGGAAGCAGCAACAAGGCCTTCAGTCATTGTAAGGAAGAACAGTACATTTTCTTTCTTTCATTTCGTTTTGTCATTTTCTTTCTCCTTGTGGTGCTGTTGATAGAATTCAGTGCTTGGTCCATGCAGGGGTAAGGGCTGTACCACTGTGCTGTACTTCTAGAACAGTGTTTTTACTAGGGGAAAATTCAGAACAGCCCAAGGATCTAGACAGAACTCTGTAGCAAGCAGCTGTTTCTGGAAGTCCATGCAACCACAAGAGTCAGCCCTGAACTCTCGTCATCCTTCCTTGGTCTCTGACTTCATCACAGCCCCTTACAGCAAAAACTGGATTCTTGCTGCCACTTGGATCATATGAAGAACTCTGCTCTGTGGTCACATCTCAACTTATAAAGGCTTTTGGTCTCCACTTTCACAGTCTGTTTAGCGGTCTATATCATTAACATGTATTTCCAACAGTGATTAAGACAATTTCCAAGCATAGAGAAAGCTGAAGGACTTTATAGTAATGACCACCTCAATTCTGCTGCTAGCATTTTGCCACATATTGGCTTTACCAACCATTGTCCATCTATTCTTTGCTAAAATGCTTTTTGAGATGCATTTTAAAGTCAGTTTGTGTCATCTGCATGCACTATCCTTTTTCTGAAGCATTCAGCCAGGGACTCACCTTCCTTAGAAATAAGTCTGAATTTTGAGAACCAAGGGGATAGGATGCTCCCTTACCAGACAGAACAGACTGCTCTTGTCTGCAGTGAGGAGGATTTATGCTCAGTTCGTAGCTGAGCAACCAGGGAGCAGGGAGTTCGAATTGATGGTTTTGAGGCAGTAAAAGCTTTTAAGCTATTATTTTCATAAAGCATTTGTCTCTCTGTAGAAAGCCATCACAAAAGTACCATTGACTTAGTTAATAATTGGCTTCTAAAAATAAGCACCATGTCAGCAGTGGTAGTCAGTGATCACAAGTTCTTGGCAACAGTGAAGCAGAACTAGAGTGCTGCAGGGTTGGTTGCAGGAGGCTGGGTAATCCTGATTAGTTTGAGCCCATTGTTCTCTCTCTAGCACTGCTTGTCACTCTGGAGGATAAAAGGGAGGACCCAATGTTACTTCTTTTTAGTAGTTTTTTTCCTGTGTGTGTGTGTGTGTGTGTGTGTGTGTGTGTGTGTGTGTGTGTGTGTGTGT